CTACATTGGAGAGACCAAACAGCCACTTCACAAGCGCATGGCACAACACAGAAGAGCCACCTCCACAGGACAAGACTCAGCAGTCCATCAGCATCTTAAGGTCAAAGGTCACTCTTTGAGGATGCCAGTGTTCACATTTTGAACAGAGAGGACGGATGGTTTGAAAGAGGAGTGAAAGAAGCATCTATGTCCACTGTGAGCGACCATCTTTGAACAGAGGCGGGGCTTACGACACCAACTCTCTGCCATCTATAATCCAGTTTTGAGATCACTTCCCAGACGCCTTAACGCCCACTCACATCCTGGGCCCTCTGACCTCAGGAAATCACATGATAAGGTGGGGCCAGGTTTCACAATGAACTCACCCGAAACTCTGGCTGATTGTGACCCACACCCAGTTTCACACCTCGGCTCAGGCGATTAGAGGATCATCAGGGGGTCCTTTTGTCCCTCTGTGGGGGGAAACTCCCACTAGGTTTATATCTGGGACTCTCCACCATTTGACCTTAGAACTGAAGAAGCTTCTCGGATGAGAGGTGAAACGTCTTCAAGTAACTTAAGGAAGTCCAGATGCTTTTCTTTGCAAGCTCGTTTGACTACGATGACCTGGATGACTGAGAACCTTCACAGACATCATTAAAAAATCTTAAGCGGTTCTAAATCATACAAATAAGCAGTGTATGGATGCAGGGGTTTGCTTTTGTTAGCAGTCTTGCTACAGTATTTCAGACCCATTAAAGTTAGGACTGCTGGTATATCTGTGAAGGTTCTCAGTCATCCAGGTTATGGTAGTCTATCGAGCTTGGAAAGAAAATCATCTGGACTTCCTTAAGTTACTTGAAGATGTTTCACGTCTCATCCGAGAGGCTTCTTCAGTTCTAAGGTCAAATGGTGGAGAGTCCCAGATTTAAGTCCCATGTTTCGGGTGAACCCGCTGTGAAACCTAGCTCCACCCTATCATCTGTCTTGAGGATGCCAACGTTCACAATTTGGACAGAGAAGACAGATGGTTTGAAAGAAGAGTGAAAGAAGTCTGTGAACAGCCATCTTTGAACAGAGGCGGTGGTTTACGACACCAACTGTCTGCCATCTATAATCCAGTTTTGAGATCCTTCCCAGACGCCTCAACGTCACTCACATCCTGGGCCATCTGACCTCAAGCAATCTCAAGTTGGGTGGGGCCAGGCTTCACAATGAGTTCACCTGAAACCTTGGCTGATTGCGACCTACACCCATTTTCACACCTTGGCTTGTGTGATTAGGTAGAGGATCAACAGGAGGTTCGTGACCCTCTTGGGGGACAATCCCCTACAACTTAAATCTGGGACTCTCCCCACCCTAGAACTGAAGAAGCTTCTCGGATGAGAGGTGAAACGTCTTCAAGCAACTTAAGGAAGTCCAGAAGCTTTTCTTTCCAAGCTCCTTAGACTGCTGGTATATAAGACTTTTGGCTGCAGCATGTTGTAATAATATAGCTGGTATAGCCTGTATAAGACAGGAATACATGCCACCCACTTGTGTTAACAGCTAGATTGGGGAGTCATCAATAAAAACTTAGTGTTTCAAGAATAGAGCCCGACCGATATAGAATTTTTTAGATAAATCTGATATTTTGGTCATGTGCAGTTACTTATGAGTAATTACTAAGATAATATGATAATGGAATTTAAAAAATAAGCTTGTTTTATTATCATAACATGTCACGCACACTCATTTACGCTCTGCCCAACACTGCTTGGAACAGCCGATTGTTACGCTCTGCGTTGGCATCTGAGACTTTTCAGAGTGCCCTCTGGTGGACAAACTATGCTAAGTCAGTACTCGAACATGATTGAATGGTGTTTCTCCCATCCCTTCTTTAGTTTTTTTAATTTCAATATCAGCGGTTGGGCTTCACTCTAGAAGATGGCTCCATGCTCTGGTTGCCTAGATAACTGTCTAATGTATTTGCCACCTTATCGTGTTAATCGGCTGTATCTTTGGCTCTAATTGCTTAATCACTTTAATCACTCACTTTAAAGTCTGGACACCTAATTTGCGTCACACTTGCACTGGCTTTCTATGGTCTCCACATATCGTTTTAAATGTGGCTGCCCCTCGATGCTTTTAACCAGACAGTCGTGGTGTCAGATTTGGTGAGTAGTGGCACCAAGATTTAGTGTTTTATTTACTTTGTAAATGCTTCTTCCATACATCCAAGAGATCATTTAACAGCCATTATTTGCAGTTTCTGGTTAACTCCATAATACTGTAGCACTCTATTGTCAGGTGTGTGGCTTAAGTCAGGCTGATGTAATCGAGGTTTGACTGCAGCACTCCAGCAAACAGCCAAGCTTACAGTCATATCTTCCTAGAAAAGACTGTCGTTTTGTTTGAACAAAATAAAAACCTCCAGAAAAACACACACATGCACACATGAAGCGGACACACAATCACAGACATTTAAGTGGGTCTGTGTTTAGAGCCATATGCCTGCAAATGCGGCTGGTCTCAATAAAACATGGTGGTTGGTTGTTAATCTTTAATAGTTCCTGTCCTTGAGAATTAACCCAGATGAACACACATTTGGGGCACCATCCTCTCTCTTACACACACACACACACACACACACACACACACACACACACACACACACACACACACACACACACACACACACACACACCGTCTCTCATTCTTCTTCATCAATCTCTTACGCTCCAGCCGTTCCCTCTTTGACACCCTTCTCCTTTCACTTCATCACTCATCCCTCTGTTCCTTCCTCTCTCCGCTCTCTTTCTAATCTTGTCTTCACTTCCCTCTGTTCTTCCGTGATCTCTCCCCTCGTAGCCCTCAACCTTTTTCTCCTGATTTCACACAAAACAGGGTAAGCCACTTTGGTAGAGGTAGCATCAGGTGCGACAAAAATCACCAAATACAAGTATAATAAAGGTTGAAAGGGGGAAAAAATCTTGAGAAGAATAGGAGGATGATCATGAGGAGGATGAGGAGCCGCGGGAGAGAACCGACAGGGAGACCCTCGCAAACCTGGCAGTGAACGATGGAAGGAGGGTAACTTGATAAAAAATTGATGTCACAAAGCTGGCTCAAGACTTGACTGATCGTTGGCTCAATGTATGTGCACATTGTTGTGTGCATTTGTAACAAATCACACACATAGGCTATTATATTACAGATTACTGTAGCACCTACCACAGTTTACATTCATCTAAAGGTTTGTAAAATGGAAACAAGCTATTTCCTCATTCCCCGTGTTTCTCAAAAGGCACAGTCGTGTAACTCTGAGTAAAACCTTTGCATCCACCCTCTGTAGTACGGGCTCAGCATGTGTCTGATGACAGTGCCCAGTTCCCATTCTCGTGAAGGCTTCAGTTAAACAACCAAAGCAGCCTCACATACAAACACAATCTCTCTCACACACATGCTGGTTTTTATTGCTCAAAAATGTCCCATGTTTTCTATATCCTCTTCATTTCAATCAGAATGTGTTTCGGAGTGGTCAAACTCTGCCCTCTGGTGACTGTAACACTAAACTACACTGATTACTGATAAATTGCGTGCTTGCAGTGTGTGTTTGAACAAGATGCCAACAAACCATTCTCCAAACTGCTTTCACCGTGTGTGTGTGTGTGTGTGTGTGTGTGTGTGTGTGTGTGTGTGTGTGTGTGTGTGTGTGTGTGTGTGTATACCTCATAGGTAGTTTTTGTCAATGCGCAACATAGAGTAACTAAACTTTACAGTTGTGATCAATACAGGGCTGAGTTTATATGGGACTGTTATTGTAGCACAACTATCTGTGCCCAAACGCTGGGGACACTGCCAATCTGAAAGCGCTGCAAAGCCTGGGAAGTAGGTCCAGAGGAAGCTGCAGCGCCCTCTGGTGGATGTTAAAGGATGTGAATTGTATTTTGTCTTTTTTGTAGTTACTCTACGTAATATTTCAATTTCAGTAAGGAGTTGAAAAGTGGATCTTCCGTGTACTTGTGTTCAGATATGTGGTAGATTTCTAATCGAAGCACCACAGGAAAGTGGCCATGCAAAAGGCAAACTTTGGATATCTTCGGTAATCTATTAATAATGGGATAATAGACACAACGACAGTACTTCTCTCATGGTTCAAAAAACAAAACAAAAGAAAGAAAAAGAAAAAATGAACACTTGGAGAATTTTTAGTTTCCATAATTGGTATAATTTAAATCCAGTCTGATAAGGGCTGATGGTTTTGGTTTCCACTGACTGTTGTTATGTCATTTTCTTCTCATTGAACATACATTCACCGTGTCTTTAGGTACATCTTGCTAGTACCGGGTCCGCCTTTTCCCTTCAGAACTGCTTTAAGTCTTCACGGCATAGATTCAACAAGGTGCTGGAAAACATCCCTAAGAGACTTTGGTCCATATTGACATGAAAGTCATGACCTGGCCGGTGAGTGTTTAGGTCAGTAAGCATTTCCAACTTGAATATTTTCTTCATGAGCCCAATGTAATTATTAAGCGTTCTAGACTTTGTGTTTATAGTTTGATACAGACGGACACACACTGCATCCACGCCACAGGTGTTACTAAACGTTTAAAATGCTTTGTTCTCTGTAGGTACAGAACTGAAATCATTACACAGCTTGATTTACAGACTGTGTCATACAAAAACAGCTGCTGCTTAAAAAGGTCTGTGGGTGCCCACTATTGTAGCAGTTGCCGTGACCCAATCACAGGATTGATTCTTTTGTTTATTTTAATTGATTTGCAACAAAACAGACGTATAAAGATTCATATAATTCTGACCATGTTATTTAACTACTAGTTCGTTAATGTTATTGTTTTGTCACATTTCAGATAATATAAACTAAATTTTACAATAACATGAAGTTTTCTGACTTTAACCTGTTGTAACTCTAATTGGCCATATTTTCATAATAATTGTCCCATGTGGACACGCTGTCTATTCAAAATGACTGTAGAGATAGAAACCCCATAGCTTGCCATAGTCACGGAGCAGAGCACGTGAACGCGAGATCTCTGGCGGAGCTTTCCTCGCCGCACCACCAACTTGTCACCAAAGATGGCGAGTTGCTGAATGCTCATGGCTACACACATTTCTCGGCTAGTTGTTATCTTACCCAAAACGCCAACTTTAAAAACAAATTAACTGTTTAGCGAGCAGCTGTTTCTCCGTTTGAAGCACCTCTGACCCAGCGTCAGTCGCCGTTACCATGCAGATCACACTTAAAACGCTGCAGCAGCAGACTATTCAGATTGAGATAGACCCCGAACAAACGGTGAGTGGCTATAGCTAACGTGCTTTAAGCTAACAGTGCTAGCTGCGCGACCTGTGTTTTGGCTTTGCGTGAAGACCCGACAGCTTCCCATTCATTTATATTACACATTAAAGAACGACTAACAACTAGACTCGACTGGAGGTTTCGCAATAGTCGCACACGTTACAAAGAGGCAACCCACAAGAAACCGCAAAACAACGCGACGCTTCACTTCTGTGATGAGTTAGCGTTAGCAAGCTAGCTAGCAGAGTAGCCCATTATCAAAGTCATAGCGACACAGTTTTAAACGACTTTTTTCATCATTTAAATATTGTTTCGCGGGTGTGGCTACTACTCTTTGTTAAAGAGTGATATGGGTTAGGATTTAAATCTAATATTTTTTGATGAACGCAAGCTGTGGACTACGCTCGTGATTGCTAATGCTAACGCCTATGACACTGCCAATTGCGATTAGCTTCACTCAGAAACTGACTCTTTCTATTAGCATGTCCTCACATCCGAAGGTGTAGTTGCAGGGTCCATTGTTAAGTGATATATTATAATGAAATAGTACGAGCATACTCTCGGTGGATATAATTCTTGTGACATTCCAAAATTTAGTTTTTAGTAAACACGTAATAGACCAGGTGTGAAATAGACCACTGCATTTTATAGCATTAGGAGACCTAACTTTAAAGCTGAAGTCAGCTAGGATGACTCCCTGCTTTGTAATGACTTGAAGGAAAGCCGGTCATCTAATATTAAACCTCTGGTATTACAAGCACTGGAAGACATGTCATGGATAATAATGAGACCTGGGGTGGTTTTTGTTTCTTGTTTTGTTATTATTATTAGGTGAAGGCCTTGAAAGAGAAGATAGAAGCAGAAAGGGGAAAAGACAACTTTCCTGTGTCCGGGCAGAAGCTGATATATGCTGGGAAAATTTTGCAAGATGACACACCAATTAAGGACTACAAAATTGATGAGAAGAACTTTGTTGTAGTGATGGTGTCCAAGGTGAGATCCTAATTAATACTTGTGGCTGACATCAGTGTATTTGGCTTCTTTTCTTGTTAAACAGATTTAACAATATGTTGATAGTCTAATAGCACTTTTTTTTTTTAAAATAAACAAAAGGCTAAGCCTGCAGTTGCAGCCTCACCATCAGTCTCAGAAGCACCCAAACCCCCAGTACAGGACTCTGGCTCCACATCAACAGCTGCCCCGACTACAAACCCAACTCCAGCCCCAGCCCCTGCCCCTGCAGCTGTCCCCATTCCTAGCGGGGAGGCCAAAGAGGAGTCAAGTGCCGTAGCCACAGAACCACAACAACCAGCTAGGTACACTCTCTCTATTACTAAAGCGGTTTTTCTGCACTGCCAGCTGAACTCGTGTAGACACTACTAAGTGGAGATAATTGTATGATCTGGACAGCTCGGACATTAAACAGCCTTTAACCAGCCAGTGTCATATTATAGAGTCTGTCTGGTTTCTGAATGCACCTAATTTGTGCCAGTGTGAGAAGAGTGTAGGCAAAGTCACAGCTAGCAATTGAACATCCTGTGTCCTGCCTCCTTCTCTTTTCAGGCCTGCATCAGAGCCAGCTCTGCACATTCTTAACTATTTTATAGGAAAATGTGTCAAAGTGTAATAATTCCAATAGCTTTAAAAATGGCAAATATTGCCTGTGATAATTGGCCATGCTGATCATTAAAGTTTACTCTGATAAAGGAGAAAACTGGATGATGTCACTACATCATATTTTCCAGAATGTAAGTGAGAAATGTTTAGAGCTGTAAGAACTGTGCATTAATCAAGTGATTGGTGGGAAATTACAATCATAAATTAGTCATTTCTTTTTCCTTTTTTAAATTCTGCAAGCTGATAAGCCATTGATTAATGCTTCTGTTTATCATGTTAAGTGGATATCTGTCTGGTTGTAGACATACAGCCGACCGTCTTTGGTTGTTAGAAACCAGTCGGCTCGATTAATCAATAATGAAAACAACTGTAGGTATTACATTTTATTAATAAAACATATTATAGGACTTGTTCAAGTCAATATCACAGCTGATAACTTTTAAGATATGAATAGGGAGGGTTTTAACCCGAGCACACAACTCATAACTGGAGTGCTTCCCATGCACACACTCTTGGTTGGGCTGCCTCATCTGGTGACTAAAATAAAATTCTATTTATCAATTTAAGAGAATCACCATCAAATATAGAAATTCTCTTAGAGTGAGATTTGTAGTGGAAATCAATCCTGTCTTTTTTTGGTCAAAGATCAGCTGCAGATAACCAGCGAGCCATCCCCTTTTCTGTCTCGTGTCATCCTGTGTTTTCCTGTACGTCATTCAGCTGCTTAGAATCTAAATCTGTGGGATCTGCTCTTAGGCTTTATGTTTGTCAATAAGTTGGCTAAATTACAAACCAAAAGGTTATGCTTTGTATTTAGCAGGCATACCTTGGAAAAAGATGTGCATGATTAGTCTGTAATAAAACCATTTTAAACATTTCCAGTGTGTCTGAGCAGGAGTTGACCTGCTTGTATGTACTGGACTCATGTATAGTTAAATCTGCATACTGACAATGGCTTTGAATAAACTGTTCAACAGAGTTGCAGCTGCCCAACTATCTGTGTACCACTAATTATTACCGTTACCTACTATGCACCATTATGTGGTGTAATAAATAATTTAGCATCATAACTCATTTAGTGATTTGAAAAGCTTTTTAACTAGGACTTCCACTTGGGAGTGAGTTGCCAGCAACAACGATGGCAAGAAAAAAAAGCTACAGTTAGCCTAGCTACAACTGGTATTGGAATCTGGTAGCATCAAATTTATACTGTTATCTGATAATTAAATTAAAAAAAAGTTTGCTAGAAAGATCGCCTCCCTGTGCTTTGGGTTAATTAGCTGGCATAGACACTGTGTTTATGCCTGAAATCAGGCAAACAAGTTTTAGCTAATGTTACCCAAAAGAAATCCTAAGCTCGACCTGACTGAGCCATACAGTTGGTTGTATGGGCATTAAAACCAGCTTTTAGTTATGCTCATCATGTTAGCTAATGTTAGCTTACCTGCTTAGTCAGTCAGTTTAATGCAGCAGCCTCCTGACTAATCTGAACTTGCTTTATCTCCAGTGTTGTTGGTGATAAAATTGTCTGAAGTTACACCAGAGTTTGTGTTTTTTGAGTTTTGTGAAATTTGTGGTTGTTTGAGTAATGTCCGCTTGTTGACGTTACGTGATCAGCGGACTCTCTTGGCTAATTGCTAATGCTGTGAGGAAGGTTAAGAAAGGCCAAGCGTATAGGAGTGAATATTATATTTTAGACTTTCTGTGGGACATCAAGTCCACAGGCTTTTAGAAGCAACTGAGAAGGTTTTGTTGTTCGTGTTTGTTTTGTTGTTGTTTTTTGTAAATGTGTTTTAATCCAGTTTAACCATTGCCTGTATGATTTTGTTTGTTTTGTTTTTTTGTTAATTGGATGGAACAGATGTTGATCACCAAGCTCACCTCCATCAGCATTGCCTGGTGCCTCTCTCAGCACAGCCTCCGTTCACATGAAATCACAGGAAACCTGTCTAATGTATATTTTTTCCCTCGCTCCAACTTTCTTTTTTTGTAGCTCCAGTGGTGGAAGTCAGGGCCTGGATGCATCCTCGACGCTGGGTAGGTAAAGCAAGCTATCAGACTTACATCGCAGGATCGGATAAAAGCAGCTGCGCCTGTCTTAATGAAATAGCTTTATTTAAAAAGTAGCTGTTAAAAGTGAACTGTACAGAGACAGACAATAGCCTGTGTTGTGTAACGCTTACATGAACTACCAGAAGCTGTTACTGTTGTAAAAGTGGGACTTAACTGGCTGCAGTGTGCTACATGCCATTTCTATATTTAGGCTCTGACAAACGCAAGCCGCCTCTTGTTGTGCCTATGAGTAACGGGGGATTCCCATTATAAGAGAGGGGAGTGTATGCGTAAAGTGATTCTGTTTAAATCCATGTTGTAATAAAAAGTTTGCTGAGATTCTATTTCAGTGTTTTCATGGTAAAAGCTCGGAGTCTGAAAGTTGTCTCGATTGTACAAAGTGGATTTAATTTGTCAGTACGATAAATTGTCATGTTTGATGAAATTTCAGAGGATATTTTTTAAAAATGTGTTGATTTGCAAACAAGCATACCATGTTTGTTTCAAACGTTTACATCTGCCCTTTCAGTGACCGGAGCGGAGTATGAGGCGATGCTGACGGAGATCATGTCTATGGGCTATGAAAGGGAGAGAGTTGTGGCTGCGCTACGGGCCAGTTTCAACAACCCCCACAGAGCCGTGGAGTACCTTCTTACTGTACGTCACACACATCAAGGGGAGGGGGTTATAACACGAGCTAGTCAAGGTGGTGGGCGTCACTCTCCACAATGCATACCGCATGAAAACACAGTAGCTGCATTGCTGCTGCTGGTGACGCTGAGACACTAGGGAGATGTTTGCATACAGAGATGAGTGATTCAGCCACAGTAGCCATAAGTGCGGCTAAAATGGCTATCATCTGTTTCTGTGTGTATAGAAGACTCACTCTCAGGTGTTTGCAGCACAGACAGACATGTTGGTCTTTTAAAGGTTGAGATAAAAGAGCATTTCTGCAAATATTAGTTACAGTAAGCTCTAATTTAACAGACCAACAGACAGAAATACTCATCCTTCACATGGGCTCAAGAAAAGTATTGAGGTTTTGCAAACATGTGACCAATAACCAGTTTGGACTCATGGTGACAGTGGGAGCAGACACACAGGCCTAGAGACTATCTGGCAACCACTGGTACTGAGGGAAAATGTTGCTGAAGCCCGTCAAACAGGCCTGCACACTGGTCAGTCACCTCTTGGCAACCACCTGTCCCTCGGGAAAGACAAGTATTCATTGAGTGGTCAGTAGCACATAGCTGCTGTCCTAGTGTGAATGAAAGTGACAGACGTGTACACAAGTGCTGTTCAGCTGCTCTTGGAGCTGTTTTGAATCTGTGCAACATAAACCTGAAGCGGAGACAGTTTGCCTTCAAAGTGAAAGTTGCTCCTTTGGAAACATGTTGCTGGAGCACTTAGGAACAGCTCTGACTGTACAGGCCATCGTTCTCCGTTTCTGGTTTGCGTCAGTTTCTCACGTTGTGCTGCTGCTCAGCTTGTAGAGTATTTGGAGACATCCAGCAACCACACATTTCCCTAGCAACTGGTTTGCGTTATGTCCAATATGGCAGATAAATCTCAAGCATGATGTCAAATAAAAACTTCAATGTTTTGATTATGTTTTTATTCTTTTAAAAAAATGTAGCATTTGATTTATGAGTGAAAACATAGGATGTACTTTCTAACTGGCAAGAAATAATAGATGAATTCTAACTGCCAAACATGTCTTTGAATATCTACTATTGGTTGTGGCTGTTAGCTGTTGTGTTGATGTTGTGGTATATAAAGAGTGAAATATGCCTGTGTGCCACAGAGCGTGGCTATTGCAGAATGACCGTATGACCGTAGACTTTAATGCTCTTAGCCTGCTTAAATGTCTGTGGGTGTGATTGACAGTTGTATTGTTGTTTGCAGGGTATCCCTAGCAGCCCAGTGCAGGAGAGTAATCCCCCAGCGCAGGCTCCCACATCTGGAACCACAGAAGCTCCGTCTGTACCAGAAGGTAGGGCATCCGACTCGCTGTGATCCAAACACAAACATGGTGTCAAGTGTGTTTGTGCATCTCTGTCAGCTGTGTGACAAACAGCACAGTCACTGGCACTGTGTAAGCTTTGATTTTAAAAGGTAGAAAAAACACGTCTCGCGTCAAAAATACGATTTTTTTCCAGAGCGCTGGAATGTGTGACTGCTGCAGGGGTGTAGACACAGCTACACTTAATAACTGTCACTGCAAGATGACTCATCGTGACTCAGTAGTGGCTAAGCGGTTCTCCACCACAGGCTTGTATGAAGTGTTGTTAAACCTGTTAGGTGGCATCAAACCTGCACGTCCATCACATCACTGCAGACTTGTTGCTCACCTGTAGCCTCTTTCTGATTTCCAGTTAGTTTACCAGGAGACTCATCGTGGATCTGCATGCATGGATAGAAATACACTCTTTACTATGCAGCCTGTTCCAAGGCTGTAACAGCTTGTTTGGGATTATGGGAGAAGTCATTAGTTACAAACATAATGTAAAGTTTCATATTTAGCTGTACGTACTGACTTGTGGCATCGCTTCATGTTTAATGTTTAATAATACATCAAGGGTTCAGTGTTTGATAGATCATGTACATTTCTGCATGCTGTGGAGGAGGTTGAGTGGAAGGCCCAGTGAGGCCTGTGACTACATGACAGCTTGAGCAGATGCAAGATTTGAATTAAAAGCCACTGGTGGTGTGCAGAGCTGGTGGTGTGCAGAGGCAAAATTAGAGTGGTGTTAAAATGACATCACGGTCCTTGTGGACATGAATGCATGCAGCACAGCTGTTCAGTCTTTGCTATCAAAGAATAAGTGATTAGCTGTTTGAGCTGGTCGTGCTGCAGTCATAGTGTGCAACATTGTTGATGTAACTAATCCCAAACACACACATGGGTCACAGCTGCAGGCTCGCACAAGTTTCCTGGTGGAAATGTTGAAAGAGGACAAAACTCTCACTGTTGCTCATTGTTTTTGTGCTCTAGGAGAGAACCCGCTTGCATTCCTGCGCACTCAGCCCCAGTTCCTGCACATGAGACAGGCCATCCAGCAGAACCCCGCCCTGCTTCCCGCTCTCCTCCAGCAGCTAGGCCGGGAGAATCCTCAGCTTCTACAGGTACCACAGCCTGTCCGAGTCCTCCTGCTGCTCGTCTCTGTGAGAAGCTTTTTAAATTCTTCTTTTTTTCCTCTCCCAACTAGCAAATCAGTCAGCATCAGGAGCTGTTTATCCAGATGTTGAACGAACCAGTGGGAGAGGGGGGAGATGCACCAGAGGTTGGAGAGATGGGGGCAGCAGGGGAGGAAGGCGCGCCTGTCAACTACATCCAGGTTACACCTCAGGAGAAGGAAGCCATTGAAAGGGTGAGCGAAGAGTAAAGGCTAAACATCGGCACTTTCTTTAATTAAAAAAAGGCGGTTGGTTTTAAACGCCCATCTTCCTCTTCTCCTTCCTCTGCTCTTCCATGACTTCCAACGGAGCAGTTAAAAGCGTTGGGTTTCCCTGAGGCGCTGGTCATTCAGGCCTACTTTGCCTGCGAGAAGAACGAGAACCTGGCGGCCAACTTTCTCCTCAACCAGGGACTGGAAGACGACTGAACGGCAGAGGGTCACTGCCTTCCTGCTCCTCCCTCCTACCCTTCACCCCTCTTCTTCAGCTCAGCATAAAGACTGCACCCCCAGATTTTACTGTACAACCTCAGCTCATCCCAAACAGGAGGGGGGGAAGCCAGTGATGGGAGAAGGGTGGAGGGGGGTGGGAGAAGAGGGGTGGCGGGGCAGGGGGATGGGAAGGGGAGACGGGGGAGGGTTTAGGTTTCGGAGGGATTACAAGTACACAAGGTCGACGGTTGTGTGCAGGAAGGTCGGGGCGGTTTTAAAGAAGAAAAAAAAAGTGGAAGAATTATGAAATCCACGTGAATTCCAATGGAATGTGTGGGGTTTGTTTAGGGGAGATCTATAATTTGATTTTAGACGCGCTTTGTGAACATTCGGGTGGGGGGGGAGGGGCGGGGCAGTGAGAGTGTGTGCTCGTGTCTGCGTGTGTGTCCACGTATGCCTGTGCAGATGGATGCGATACAGTTAAGCTGAAAAAGTAATCGATCTGGCATTCTCTAAGTTTGTTAATGCTGTAGCCGCGATTGTAAGGAAGCACGTTACTCCTCACCGCACGTAATCTGTGTGCGAGCGTGTTTGTGTGTCTGTGCGTGTGTGTATAAACTGCTCGTGTGTTGGAAGCTAACAGTGGAGGAACAACATAGATGGACTGGTTCTTGCTGCCCCCCTTGTTTTCTCTGTCTGACGTGACGTTGCTGGGAACCATCGGCCCACATGAGAACTAAACTGACAAATGAGTATCTGCTTTTCCTGTTCCTCACTTTGTGCTGCCCAGTCAGGAGTCCCTGCAAACACTGTGCCCGCCCGCTCAAACGTCTGAGGGTTTTATGTGCGCTGATAGCTTCTGGTGCCAATTAACACTACTCATAAACATCTGTGGTGTTCTCCGTAAGAACACGGCTTTCATTTGTGGTGGCAGGTGTGCGTGCCGAGGATTAGCAGTGCCAGGTCACCATCATCGCTTTGCATCGCTTCATACTCATGAGGCTTTAAGCTTTCGAAGAGACAAACGTCTAAATTGACAATCATGAAGGAAAAAACCTACAATAATCACGAGGAATGAATGACCTAATGCAGCGAATTTATATGTTAAAGAATTTCACTGCGTCATCTAAAGCGTTAATTAGCAGAGCTTTGTAGCCACCTCTTCTTTTTCTAACAGGTTGCATTAGAGTAGACTTGTTATGCTTTTCCTTTATTCTGTCATATTTATGTAGTGTTAAAATTATGGAATAATAAACAAAGCAACGAGTTTCAACTAACGATCCATGTGTATATACACATGAGGCAGGTGTCTGACTGCTTTAAATGATCACTTTCAGGCAGTTTTTCTTCTCTTGGCTCTGTATGATGTCACAGAGAGGGGCGTCCCCACCCACCTGCTGCTCAGATCTTCTGTTTCTTGGGGGAAACTTGAGTCTAGTTTAGGATGAGGATTATTTTGAGCTGCGAGTCTTCCGTCGCCTCTCTAGCAGAGTCCAAGAATAAAAATGCAGTGCTAAAAGTGAGCATGATAGTTCCCCTTTAAGAACAAGTGAACTCATTGTCTGATTACTACCTACAGTGACATGTCTGGGTGTTTACAAAAGTTTCTTTTTTTAAATTTGAGTTTCCTTCTAAATCAGCTTTCGGACACTAAAAAATGAAAGGAAAGGTCTGGAAATCAAATAAGCCTTCAGCTTCCTCGTGGAGCAGATGACCTGTAATCATCCTGGTCTGTGGCAAACTGAATTTAAAGTGATGTGGCTAAATAGGAGCGTGAATAAAGCAGAGATTCAGTTATGCTAAATTCACTCCGTCATTGTCTGAATGTTGTGACACGGAGTCTGAGAGGGCCACGCAGAGAAACATGCTGCTGTTCCCTTTATAGTCTGATTAGCTAGCCTCCTGTTACTGTGTGTAATGTGTAGTTATCATTAAGAACAAAAACCCACCGAAGTTGAGTCAAACTCACTTGAGATGTTGGCCCTTGCACACCTGCCGCCGATCATAAGGCCGTGCTCTTACTTTGCAGTAGTGTTGATCAACACGGAGGCGCGCACGGGTTGGATTGAAGGCTACCAGTGCACACAAAGCAGCTAATGAGGAGCAATGTGAGGAACAGATCTGATCCATCGTCACCATCATACCCACCGTATGTGCACACGGGCTCATGACCCACTACAGATTACTGTTTTGAAGCTTTGCTGACCCGGGCCCTGTTCTTCACACGTGTGGGGTGACTAAAACCAGCTACATGCTGCTATCAGGCTAAAACAGAGCGAATTGTCGTTCATTTGATCTGAAAGCATTCTGAGGACTGATAACCTCGGATGAAGTTCTCAGTGCGTGGAGCTGGAGCCGGAACTCCAATCAGCACAGTAGCTTTCAAATAGTTCTGCAGGTTAATTTAGGATTTTTAGTGTTTAAGAAGATGCATTGTCATTCTGATGTCTCTTTTAATGGGTTGTGCGTTCTTTTTGGGTTTTTTGTCATGCATAGATACAGTTAAGATTAAAGATGCAGGTATGGATTTTATTAAGACATTTGGATCAGAAAATGAGTGCAAAAGTGGGATTCCACGACTCTGGCTTCAAAGAACCGAAACAGTCCAGGTCTCGTATCAAATTATCAGCAAACCTTGAACGACTTGAGGCGTCCACACGCGGAGAACGGGGCCCCGGTTTGTGGTGTGTGAGGTGGGGATGTGTGGAAACCTTGATGCGGGTCTGCAAGGAGACGGTAACTGTTAACTGCAGTCTCATCCTGTGTGTGCGTGAGGGCAGTTTATACTGACAGCTGTCCTACAGCATCAACATGATCTTAGACTATGCTGTGCTACATTAAATATCAGCAGTCTTTCAGGCCTCTGACTCTGTGTGTCATTTGCATCAGCATGGATCTCACTCGCTGCGCGCATCATGCACTCACCTGGTCAGGAGGTGCCCCCTAGTGGTTAAATATGCTCCATACTACAGCCAATACTGAATTTATTGATAGTTTTCACATAAAACATGTTGGATTGTGAGGGTGAACTGAAATGTTGTCGACAACCACAAGACCTGAGGAATGTCAGCGGGACGGGAAAAGAACAGTGGTAGAAAGGATGAACACTCATGTTCTCACACTTAATCATGTCATATATGTCATCTTAATCCACTAAATAGTTAATGTTAATCACAACACCCACTGAAATAGAAATGTTTAAGCTCATTCACGCTACTTTGTACAGTGCACTTGAAAAATGGCAAAAATCATATTTTGCGTGGTTGGATCTTTACTAGGTTCCAATTCGAGCTTCAACACGCAACAAGAAGAAATGAGAGTGAGACAAAACATTTTTCCGAGTATCCAGCTTATTCAAAGCGACGCTTAAACGGAAACGGGCTGCTTTACAGCTGATCAAAAGTTAGGAAGTTGTAAGACCACACCTCAAAAAACCCTGCAAACACCCCAAATCAAAACTCAAAGTTCCAACTCAGTAATGAGTAGCTGCATCGTTATTGTTGATCACTTCAAAATTTTGTTGCGGCAAGCTTGATGCAAGTGTTTCCATGAGGTGAGTGGGAACATTTCTCCAAGTGGTGAAGACGGCTGCACGAATGGCATCTGCTGTCTGGAACTGTTTTCCATTTTTGTAAACCTCCGTTGCCATCAATCCATCAAAGCTTCTCAACTGGCTTTAGATCAGGGGAACACGCAGGATGGTCCTTAAAAAAATTCCAACTAACTGTCTTGGTGCGTCCCACCTTAGCAGTGATAGCCTGCTGCTTATGCAGTTCATGTTCAAAAGGAAAAGGTGCCTTTGCAATCAGGACATCATGACACTGATACCTGACAGAAAATGACACCGAATCCACATTTTTGCACAGATTTGGTCCTTTAAAGGCGTGTAGTCCTAAACAAGATAAACTGCATCTCTCCACAGACGACAACAATTCACAAACATCTTGATAGTTAACGGCTCATTTATCAACACTTCTTTATCGCCTCTCGATGCAGGACTTGCCATAGTAGTGCATCGTTAGGTGGAAGTTTTCGTTCACCTGTTTTGAGTCACTCGCATTTAACGTTGACCAAAACAGTAAATATTCATTTATTAATGAATACTCACATAAGTGCTGAAGCATCAGACCAAGTAGTATGATGGGTCGTCTTTATGTCCAGATTTCTTCAGTTCTATGTAATTTTACTGTGTTCCTCAAGTGTGGCATTATACTCAGTCAACTGCTCAGAAAATAAAGGCAACTCTCGGTCATCACAGTACAAAATACAGTCAGTTAAGTGTCAAGGACACCAATCTCCCCAGTTAGAAATCAGAAACCATTTCATTTCACCTCCTTTGGTGTAAATGAAAGTGACACCAGGTGCACACGCCCATGAAGGGAATGCTTTTGCTGGTTCTGAACACAAACCATTGGCGCTCTTTTGATCCCTCCTCACTGATTTTGCTCTAGTTTTGTTGTTTTTTTTTGGCTAAACTTCTACAGTCCTGTGCTGAACGTTCAGCTCCTCCAAGGTAAGCCTATGGCAACCAGGTCTGCAGTTTCTCCAAGTTGTGAGAGTGTGGGGAGGATACCAGGAGACAGGGTGTTACTTAAGAAGAGCTGGACAGGAGATCATAGTAGAAGATCATCAGCTCAGCTGCAGGACCGGTATCTGCTCCTTTATGCGGGGAAGTACAGGAGCACTGCCAGAGCTCTACAGTATCACCTCCAACAGGATACTCGTGCATGTTAGATTAGATGGATTAGATAAAACTTGATTAATCCCTCGGGTGGGTTCCTCTGTAATGTAATGTTCTGTTATGTTTGTGGTCAGAGTGCCAGAAACATACTGCCTGCAGGTGGCCCAAGGGCCCAACAGCCTTTACTGGGACCTGTGCTCATAGGTCCCCAGACCTAAATCCAACTGAGAACCTCTGTGATGTAGTGTATCCATCTGATGGTGCCACAGACTGTGGCTATATACCTGTATTTAAAAGTAGTGGCAGTATCAAAGAATTAGGTGGTAGTAACAAGAGATGGACTGATCCAATATGCTGATCTGATATAGGGGAGAAAAAAAAGTAATCCGATCCATTAAATATCACAAAAGCACCTCACAAAACTTGGCGTAACCCAGGTAGTGACCTTAGCACGTCGGAGCAGTATGCGTCACGTGGTAGTTGTGTGCGAGACCTGTCGGCGGTCTGGAGTTCACACTGAAAGCATCTGGAGCCTCGCTATGTGCTGCCAAGGTAGGCATCGCAGACAGAATGTGTTTCCCTGCGTCGGGACCACACGCTGGGCTTTCCAAATCACAGACAGACTCCCACATTCTTGATTTTTAGTTGACAAACACTTCTTATAACGACGAACTACTCCTGAAACCTTGGAGGTTTTAGCTCTTTATACAATAAAGTTACAGGAGGATAAAAATAATTATCAGGCCAAATCTCCTTGGTTTGGTAAAATAATCCCGTCTGATGCCGCGTGAGAACGATAAATATATCATTTTCTGTTGTAACCCTCAAACTGAATGGTAATGTAACAACACTCATTTTTCACGTCTTCACAAACAAAACAAACACTTTTTTCATACTTGTGTTAAGTTTGTATAGAAATTACACAAAATTCTGTCTCAGGTTAAATGTGATAGAAACAGCTTACACTGGCACTCATCTTGCTAAAAGAGGAGCGTCGTGAGAAGCTGTGTTTGCACATATTTGCACTGCTTTCCACTCTGGATGTCTATGTATGTATAAAAGGGTCCATTCTACAACCTGCTTTTTTCCAAGTTGTCGAATATAAACATTATTTTGTGCTGATATTGCAACTTCTTTTTTTCAGAGCCAAAGACTTTTTGAAACCTGTATAAAATTTTAAATTATTTTTTGAATATTACTTTAAACACTTAAAGTTCTGCTAAGAGTTTAAATAACAAGATCAGTATTGCTGAACTGAAATATTTTGGGTGCAGTGTATAGAATAGAATACAAGTGTAATAGAATAGCTTTAGTGTTTTGTCTTTTAAAATTTTAGGATGAACTTACCAGCAAGATACTAAACATCTTTTTATTGATTATAAACATAGACTATATCAGATTCATATCGGTATCGGCAGATATACAAATTTATGAGATCGGTATTGGACGTTAACAAAGTGGTATCATGCCATCTCTAGTAGTAACACATCAATTAAATCAGTATTTTTATGTTAAACTGAAGCCCAGTTCGAGCTGGAACAGCGTGTTAGTAAATGTGACCCGACTCTTACAAAATGTTTGGAAAACGGCTCCGACCTCTGCAAACATCTTCCTGTTGAGTTCATGGGCTCAGTCCTAGAACAGCTCTGTGAATTTTGGTTGTTACCCAATTCATACTACAGTAGGAATTTGTTACCCAGCATCACATCTGGTCACATCTGGTTTCCAAAAACCTGCCTACCCCTCGGCCTCCTAGTAGATGCATGTGTGGCTTCCCTCAGCTCATCAGTCCCAGCAGGCAGTTACAGCGTTTCTGTCCAGAGTGCTTCTCCTCTTGCAGCGCTGACGAGGACACGGTAACAAAGACAGGCGACACAGGCAGGATACAGTCAAGAACATCCTTTTATTCAATCAAGTGATGGTGTTGCTCTTTTCAAACTGTTTTTTTATTATTATTATGGAAAAGAAACTGTAATTAACACATGCATTTCACCATGGGCTCTGGGAGGTGTGTCTGAGGATGGGACGGCTCTGACAGAGGGGAAGGAGGGGGAGGGGCACTTGTGGTGGGCGGGGTTCAGGGTGTGGCGGGGTTAGTCTAGCTTGGGAGCTCAGTCACTAAATCGCTAAACAGCATCCTTAAAACAGTGATAGAAACTGAGCGAGGAAAACGTAAAAGTGAAACATGCTGACGGATGGGCCACAGGGTCCGACTGGGCTCTTGAACGGTGCAGGCGTCGGATACTGCAGACGCCCGCCTCTCCACTAAAGCGCGCACACGCTCACACACACACGCTCACACACACACACACACACGCGCACTCGCTCTGCTGTGTGACCTGTTTGTCTCTGATATGGCTTCTCAGCTATGGCGCTTTCACTCGTCAAGGCTTCGCTGATAATACTGCTGCTGGCTTCATTCGCTTAATGCAAAAAAAAAGACATCTAAACGTTGCATATACTTTTTTTTTCTTCCTCGATTTTGCTGGTGGAGCCTCACGGTGCTTACATCTAATGTTTACAGGATTTGGAACCGCATGACTTTGGTGGATAGTGATGGATCGATAAGTCACATTTTGTAAGGATTGTGCTGAATCTCAGTCTCTGTGCTGTGGCACCGCTCTGTTTTTAAGGTGCTTTGAGTCATTTTTCATGGTTTTTTTCTTCTCTTTACAAGAGCTATTCTCATTCACTCGTTCTCAAGATGCATAACCAGGTCACGATGCATCGTCCATCAAGACGAAATAATAAAAAAATTTCAAATTCAATTACAAAACAGAAACAAGGAAACCTGCAAACGAACAAACCTGCCTGCGCTAGCAGTCCTGCTGGTCACCACCCTCGCCTAAAGCCCAGTATCACATTCCTCGTGCTTTTATCCCTCCACCTTTCTTTCTTTTTTTCATCCTGTGCCCTTGTCCTCAGCACAGCCCAGAGCCCTGTGGTGTAACTTGTTCACTTACATTAGCTGTTTGAATGGAGAAGCTGAAGAAGATGGGTATGGTAATACAATGTGAAGCGTACAGACAAGAATAACATGTGAGCTAACTGCATTCTGCTCAGACAACAAAAGAAAAAAAACCTTTGCGTATTCTTCTTCTTTTTTTTAACCCCGCCGTTCAGAGAAAAGGGAGAAAAGGAAGGAAGTGGGAGAAGGGTACGCGGCTACAGACTACTCCAGTGTCCAAGATAGACAGACGACAAGATACAGAGGAAGAGAAGCAAGACAGAAAATATTCTTTTTTTTTTTTGTTTTTAGGTTTTGTCTTTTTTTTTTACGTCTTTTCTTAATAATTCAACAATAAAAAGAGGAACTAAATCACACCAATTTCCTTTAGTACTATGTATACTGCTTGAAAAAGCTCTGAAGAATAGGAAGAGAAAGATACAGAAGAAGCATGAAGGAGGGGACTTTTTTTTGAGATGGGCACTCAGGATTACAAGATGGAATCTGTGAACAAAAGGCACTTTTTAGGGACAACCTTTAAAGATGCTCTGAGTCTATAACACTACATCACCAAACAAATATTTATAATCATTTACAGCGGGGAAGGGGATTGGGGGAGGATGGTGGTGTGTGTGTGTGTGTGTGCATGTGTGTGTGGAGGGTTGGGATAGGGGGGTAGGGTTCACATTGTTGGTAAATTGATGACAGCACCCCCCCCCCCAGCCAGACAGAGGCCGCTGATTCCCTCTTTCTTTCTTTCTTGTTTAAACAAGTAGACATTTACATTAAAAAACCAAAACAAAATAAACATTTTCTTTAATTTCTATGGACGTCATCATCGGTGGTTTGGACTGGGGAATCCGTACTTGTGCATCTCCCAAAAATGGGGAAGATCTTGTCTTTGTCCCACGCTAGATGTGTTGGACATAACATGATGGAGAAGAAAAGAAAGAAAAGAAACAAGATCTGACGTGATTTTCATTTTTTCCCTGTTTGTTTGTCCTGCAGTGGCGATAAAGTTCGGGGAGGAAAAATGCCTTTTGTCCTACAATGAACCTCTCACCCCCCCGCCCCCCTCCCTCGGTAAATACAAAAAGAGAAATAGAATAACGCACACTTTCCTAAAATTTGCTTTTTATGATAACACTTAGTTCTTGTTTATTATTATTTATGTATAATAGAGACTGAATGTACTTTATTCTTTTACGAAAGCACCAGTTGTCATAGTGATATATATTTTACGAGTTGCAAAATTGTTCCTTCAGCCCTCCCATGGTTTTTGAAAACAAATGAATAGAAATGAAGTTTTTAAAAATGAACAAAAAAATGTAAAATAATTTCCCCAAACTTACTTACAAAGACTGGGATTTTTTTTCTCGCTGCTCTCATATTTAGAGTCCCGGAGCAGGTGGACTTTAAAACAAACAAAAGCCCCTCCCCCCCAAAAAAAGATAAAACAAAGAAAAAAGAAGAGGGTTTCCCTCTTTTTGTGTGACACCCTCAAACAATCGCTAACAAACAAACACAATTCCTCTACCAAGGCATTGCACATGGCTCAATCAACATACATCATTTAGTTTCAAGAACAATACTTCCCATCAAGACACGAAAGAAAACAACAAAACCTAATCTGCTTTATCTTTTAACCTCAACTACGTCATCATCACTTGTTGTCTATGTATCTACTGTTGCGTTTGCCGTCCTTTAGCTTTATGTCCTGTAACGCGGGTGCGAGCGGGTTTACAAACTGGTACTTTAGCTCAAATCAGCTTTTTCTGTGTGTGTGGTTTTTTTCTGAGATGCATCCTATGACTGTGCGATGTACGCCATGCTTCAAAAAATAACTAGACTGCCACAGAGCTTATCTTGCAAATAAAAAAAGTATATATCTATAAATATATATGTGTATTATATATAAAGATGCTTGTGATTATCTAGTGAGCTGTCACCGTGTTTTTTTCTCCCCCTACTGACATAAATGTTTTTTCCACCATTCACTATAGCTTATATGTGAGAAAAAGAACCTGAATTCATGTTTGACAAATTGCATAATGGGAATACAGAGGCACTTCCATAGATTAGAAAAGAAATCACCTTTAGCCGTCGTTAATGTCTTACTCAGCGGAGCTAGATCTCTCTACGAAGCTGATGAGATGATCGCCATCGATTGGCCAGCTATGTCGCGCTTTTCCCTGCAGTGAAGAACGTGGCCAGGCAGTCCAGTTATTTTGTGAGGTTGGATGGGTGATTAGCTTTTTAGTAGGGCTAAATTTGTGGGCTGATTCTTTATATAGTTCTAGATAATGATTGAAAGCATAAAGGCCTCCTCAGATTGTCTATCTTTAAGACTTCCCTTTGAATTGAGTCGGGCACGGGGGACGTGTTAGTAGTGAGTGGTCTTCGTAAGTCTGTGTGGAGTTTTTTTTAAAGAAGTGGCGATCTGTGCTCTACAAGTGTGATTCCATCCCAGTAATACATCCACTGATTTGCAATACTAAGTGGTGGTCGATCTATTGTAACCATTACAAAAAAAAGTCTGATAAGGTTGGCTGGCATGATTGTATTAGTGCAGTTTTTTGATCTATAAGGGCTCTTCCATTCACGTAGCTCAGTGGGAGTGCTGGTGCGTGTGTGTGCGTGTAAGTGTGTGTTGTGGGAATGCTATATCCAACACTACCAAGCAGCCTTTACCTGATCCTGTGCACCGGCGTTTAAACGGGCACACCCGTGATCCGTCCTACTGCTAAGCCTCGGCTCTCGTCCCCTCTCCAAAAACAGCCAGATATGTCACATATTCATTTTGCTCCGCAGTGTGGCCCCCTCTGCTCTTGGAGCAGCGGCTCGTCTGGGAGTGTAAACAACAGGGTAAACTTTAGGGAGACAGAAAGAAGAGCTACTCTCTCCTTAACTCTGGGTCCCATCTTCAGCAACCTTCCCTCCTCAGATCTGTTTTCTATCACTCGTACATCCCCACCAGCAGCCACTAGCTGTACCTGGATCCAAATAGTAGGCGCGACTATTTTGTCTTCTTCCCCTGATCGTTATGGCCGAGCAGGCGATCTCCCAGAAAAATAAGCTTCCTGTGATTGTCAAAACCCTGCATCGTGTTGTTCTACAGGAGACGTTCATCTGGAAAATATGCTTGTTCGATGGGTCACCTTCACATGAAGCAGCTAGGTGGCTCTGTTCAAAGGTAACGAGGGTCCCCGCATTCGTCTGAATCTTACTGCCTTCACCCCAAACAGTCGCCGAGGTTTCCTGGTTCTGCTGGAGGTTTCTTCCTGTTTCTTCCTTGCCAGTGTCACCAAGCACTTGCTCACAGGGGTCATGCGATTACTGGGGTTTTCTCTGTATCATTGCAGGGTCTTTGCCTTAAAATATTCAGCACCTTGAGGCAATTGGCATTGCGATTTGGCGTTATATAAATAAAATTTAATAAAATTGAATTAGTCAGGGTAGTTCCAATGTACTAGACTCAGGATAAAAGCAAAGTGAAGTGTCAACTAAGGAAATATATGCTCCACCTCTGGTGGAAAGTGAGGCTAGAGCGGAAGTGCTGAAAACCTGGGCTTTTTCTAATGGCCAGCAGGGGGCGACTCCTGTTTGCAAAATCTGATTGTATCCAAGTCTATGAGGAAACGATCCTCCGTATCACTTTCTGACCTCAAGAAGTACTTTTGTAATGAATTCATGGTCTCAATCGCTAAACTGACGTCTTCATTGATATAAACTCTGAATTTCTAGTGAAGCAGTCCTGCTTTTGCATGTGGCTGCCCTGTGTTCCTGGGTTTTAAGTCAAAGCCACAGTTAGCTTATGATGTCCAACTGCCAAAAAGCTCGACTTAACATATACAATCAACACTAGTTACCCAGTGGATTACTTTCAAATGCTTTGTTCTTTCTAGGATTCTCACAGTAACGGTGTTTTCACATGACACTGCATTGCAAAGCTACAAAACGCCTGAGCTGCCGTCTAAACCGTCGCAGAGTTGATTTCAACATTCCTAAAAAAATGACCAAACGGGTTTCGGGTCTAAACCCTCTTAAAACTGCTCATATTCTGCACGGATACGTCGATATAAAATCATCATATAATCAAAACGGTCACTGGGGGTGCAGGTTTGGTGGTTTTATTAACTTTGGACAGAACCAAGCCAGCTAACCTCAGCTAAGCCAACCAGCTGTAGTGGTATCAATCAACTCATCTCAACTCCCTGGAAAAAGAAGCAAATAAGCATATTTCCCAAATGTTTTTGCAAGCGCTACTTGATCCGGGTAAGCTAACCACCCTGTCTCCACTGCTTCAACATACCGCTTCTGACTGTGTTTCTCTTTAAGGTGCTGTCATTCAAATACAAAACAATTATAAAATAGTACAAATCCAAAAGAGGAATAAATTCAAATAAGAGAACACACGAGAGATAATAAAATCATTCATCTACATTACATAAGGGCAAATTGGGAACCAATAGCTGCTGCCTGTAGCTGTGAAGCTGTCAGTAATTATATAGTCACACTGCGATTTTCAGTGTGTGTGTGTGTGTGTGTGTGTGCGCACAATGTTTGGATATCTAATTAAGGTAGAAAGACTTCACTGGGCTTAAAAAATAAGAATGAAATAACACAACACCACCACCTATAAATACTACAACCTAAATGTGAGACTGGGCACGTGTGTGTGTATGTGTGTGTGTTTTCATACATGCTGTGGTCATGGCACAGACTGAGTGATTGTTCTGAATGTGGGGAGACATGAGAGTGAGTGGAGGCCAATGATCTGTCGAACTGAAAGATGGGGCTGAGGACTTGTGAAGGCTTCTTGTACCTCAGGTTTGTTTCCTCTTTAAAACTTTTAAAATAGGCAAGTCTGGTTTACCTCCCATGCCTTGTAGGTAAATAGTGCACATCTTTAAGATTAGTGTTAATTGATTCAGCTTGTAGTGCAACCCTTAATCAAGTTTTGGCATGGTCACTAGTTAGTAGTAGGGTGAAAGGGGCTATTTTAGGTCATTCAGAAGGATAGAAACATTGGTCATTTGGATTTTGTTTTGAGTGATGACAGACATCACAGGAGCGTGGACTGCAGCTTTCCCTGGGAACCGAATTGCTTTGATTAGACTGTGACTTGAATTTGTATTTGCTAGACAACTGATTTTTCTAAGCCATTTGTTACACAATGCGTCTTTATAAAGTAGGAGAAGCCGACGGTTTTCATCCTCAGGTTCCTCCTGCGCTGCTGTGCTGGTTCGGTGGTTTGAGGAGAGATGCCTCCTTGCTGCTGCCGTCCCCTTACCCCCCCTTCTCCCTGTCATCCCGGCATCCTCTTGTCCATCTATTCGTCTTTCAACGTATCCATCTTTGCTTGAAACGGGTCCTGCCTCTGACTGTGTGTAAGTAAGTCCAGAGTTCCACTAAAAGCGTCATGCTGCTGTAATTTCCTGCGTTGCCTGGTTACATTTTGTATCAGGTGAGACATACTGTCAGGGCCAGTCGGTGGGTGGGTTGGAGGACAATTATTATCCTGCGGGTTGTTTCTCTGGTTCTTTTTGTGTTTTTTGTTGTTGTTTTTCTATTTCTGATTGCAAAGAAAGAATTCTAGTTGCTGGTTTGCACACAGATCTTGTCAGAGGAACCAAGACTGAAAAAGAAAAGAGAGGGAAAGACGGGATGAGATTATGTTAGTAACAAAAATAGTAAACAGCTTAAATAAACTTTATGTGCACAAAATGTGACCCACTGTGTTTGTTCAAAATAAACTGGGATTACCACTTTGCAGCTGCATGCTTCCACCAACCAGTGAAGCTGCAGTTTACCTGCGTGTCTGACTCTTTACTGTTGGCCACCAAAGGTTAGTGCAGTCACTTCAGCCTCCTACCAAATGTTAAACATCACCACAATCTTCTCTCTGTTTCTCCGTTATGGCATCAATCCGGTTGTTCAGTCTGACGTCACTAGTCGTGTCTGGGCCTAAACTCCGCTGCAGGTCCATATATCAAACGATCACTATGGCATTACTGAGAGTTGAAAAACTGTCTAAAGTCTTTCATCTTTAATAAAATGATCAGCGTTCTGCTCTACCAGGTGTAACAATTGAGTTTAACATCCAGGCATCCATGAAAACGGAATTTATGACATTTAACGGAGTTAGAAGTTAGCAGGAGTTAGCTCGCTAGCTTCTATCTAAATACAATATAGCATGTCCTGACTGCGGGGTTTTGGAAACAAATTAAAACGTACAGCTCTGCTATCACTTCCAGCATAAATGAAGACAGAAAACTAAACAGCAGTGACGTTTGTAGGGTTACTGAAGTTGGGCTAGCTGGTATATAATGATGTGCTACGTGACCGCTAGCGACACAGCTATGTTAGCATAATATAAACAAGCTAACTTTTTTTCCACTCGATAAAAGTTAACGTGAGTGTTCTCGGTGGTCAGGAACAAATGTAATCGCATGGCAGGATGCTGTAAAAGGACCAAACTTCAGCCAGGAGAACAACTGAGATAATCCATCCACAATACGAGGTTAGTCATTCATATACTGCTGCATGGGCTGGGCTGTAGTTACATCCTAAGGTTTTAAAAACTGAGCTTAAATAAATGATTAGCGGTAATAAAAGCCGAGGGAGGTCAACAGTGATCACTGACTGTTTTAGGAGCTTTTTGAGATTAAATAGAAGAAAATACAAAACATTAAACATGTTAACAACACAAAAGCCATATTAAACGCAGACTACTTTAGGCCCGGAAGTAGGATTCGTCACGTCATCACTTAACAACCGGATAATGCCCATTTGAAGAAAAATATGATGATATCCTTTAACCTGTTTGTTATGAAATGCTATCATCTTTTATTCTAACACACTGGTGTGAAAGTTTGTCATAATCTGAGTAAATACACAAGAATTTGCACCAAATCCAAATCAGTTCATCCTTTAGTGTAAGTGAACATTCCTGCCAAATTAAAGGTGTTTTCTCACATGAGGTTGCTGTGACCTTCACCTCGGAGCATGGATGATCAACCTGAAAACAATGCCTGTAGCCACACCTGTCACCAGCTGTGTAACGATTGCCCATCCAAAGAGCAACTGCACCACAAATGGTTTCTGAAAATGTCTGCACACCGTGTTGGCTTTTGGCTTCAGGGGGTTCCTCTAGTTTTTAAATACAGTGAATGACAGAATTGTCATCTGGGCCTCTAGCCCAGCTTATTACCATCGAGTCTGTTCATTTCTGGAGAGAAGTACAGTATGTCTTGAATTTGGCTGAGTAGTTAATAGCTCCTAATAGCCAAGCAGCAGCAGGGAGATAGCAGTCTGGCGCTCTGTGTCACTTGCGCCTTCTTCACGTTGAGTTTTCTTCTCCTCAGCATGAGCAAGGAGCAGAAATGGGTCACCGCCACTGTTGTTGGCTGCCCTGCTTGGCCTCCAGGATCTGGCACTGTGGGCTGGTGCACCAACATTCTAGAAGTCAAGCCTTGGAAACTACTCTGCGCCTCCAGGGAAGCAGCCTTTTGTTTTGTTTGACTCTAACAGGTCGCATGAATACCCCCCTGCCTCCCTCCTGCCTCCTGCCCTTCTCAGCTACCCTACTCCCCTTGGGCACGGTCCCAGCAGGCCTTGGGCATTGTAACTTCTCCCTTCTTAGTTACTCTGTCCCTCTGTGTATGTGCTTACAGACACACACAATCCATCTATCTCCCGTGAACACTCCCACTAAATCCTTGGCAGCAGACAGTGACCACCCTCTTTTCTTTCCTGCCCCCCTCTCGAGCAACCCCTTCTCAAATTCAAGATCAACTGGCTATGACATCATGTCTGGTTGCCGGGGGTAACGAGACGGCCAGGACGTGACTTCTATAGGGGCCGAAACTCTCTGTTGCTCTGTTCCCTCCATTTCCCCTCTCGCCTTGCCCTGCTGGTATCTAGTTTCTCGTCTCGCCTGGATGTAGCACCCAACGTTTGCCACTAGAGGGAGGACAAAGCCCAGCGCTGGTCCTGAGCCGCCACAGGCTCGTTTTTGAGAGGATCTTTGTTTTGTGATTGATCTTTTAGTTTTAAAGTGGACCATTAATCTTTTCATGTCACTGCAGAGACACGTGTAAACAGTTGGTGCCGTGTGTGTTTTAGCTACGCATTGAAAAGTAAAACCATATTTCAGACAATTTGTCCTAGTCGGTACAGAACATCTCAACTTTTCTATGAGACACACAGCCAGAAGTTTTTGGTTACCTCTGTCCAAATACATCTGTGTTCTTGGTGCTATATTTTTTTAATGTTTTTATGGTTTAGGCCTAATGAAACCAAAGACATAGCGGTAAGTAATATTTTTGACAACAATGTGTTGGCAACAGTTTGGGGAATCCGATATTTTGCTACACACAGAGCCAGATCCACGAAGAAATAGTTTTAATGTGAATTAACTTCACTTGGCGTTAAGGGGAACTCTGACTGCAAGTCTTTATTGCCTAAATTCAGTGCTTTAACTCACAATAATGGCCTTGTGGTTAAAGAGCAGAGGCAGTTACAGGAGCATATTAATACCCACGGATCTTGAACCTGATGTTTAACAATTAAATACAGTTTGTATGTGATGTTCGCGTGTCCACACAGTTTGGCCACATGATGTGTGCAAAGTTCCACTTCCAAGAAAATAGAAACAACTTAGAGTTAAGCAACATAAACATTTCATCAGCAAAGAAAATGTTTATGAAGTGATGGAACAAAAAGAGATGAACAGTGAAGCAATGAAGGGTAAAGAGCAGAGTATAATGAGCGGAGGGGCAGAAATGGAAAGGGAGAAAAGAGAGAGAACAGAGGGCAGAGAAACAAGGGAGGAGATCAGCAAAGCAGTTTCAGATGGTTTCCATGTGTCGACGAGTGGAGCTGAGCTGGCTCCAGGCGGGTGTGGTTGGACATTAATGAGAAAAGTACTGGTGGTAATGGAGGAGGCACATGAATGAGGTGCAGGGTGGTGAAGGGGAGGAAGAAAGAAGGTGAGAGAAGGAGAAAGTAAAAGGCAGAGAGTGAGCAAAGTGTGGTAAAGCTAAAAGGACGGAGAAAGTGAAGTAGGAAAAAAAAGGGGGGGCAAGAGGAGGGAAAGGAAAGGAAGCAAGTAGAGAAAAAAAAGCTGTGAGTAAAGGAGCCTGAAGGGTAGGCTCCATATGTGCCAAATAAACAGTTGAGCACATATGGTAAACCACACACGTACTGTAAAATACAGATGTACAAATGCACACATTGATGGCGAGCTGTGGGATGGTGCGAGAGAAGAGGTGGAGGAAACCGTGCAGCAGGTTTCAGGCAGTGAGGGAATAAGAAATATTTTGGCGTACATCCACGCAGTTAATAAGTTTCCAGAGTTTGACCAGTAATTGCAGCGAAAACAGCTGAGTTTCCTCCTCACTCTCCTACAAAGCGAGAAAAACTGCCAGTATATCACCCAACTCCTACCTGTGTCTGCTGCGGGATGTTCAGAAAGTTGTTGTCCCGTGATCCGATGCCGACAAACCTGTTGGGAGCTGTGGCGCCTGGCGTGGAGTATGCTACGGAAACAGAAGGAGGACAGAAAATCATCAGTGCCAACTAAACAGCTAGCACTGCAACCTCTCATGGAGTCTTAACTGGAAAGGTGCAAATTCTGGGAAGTAAATGTGTACACTCATTTTATGAAAGTACAGTGAAGAAAGGTGTTCTACTTTCATGACTGTAAGCTAAACCGAATGTAGCTACCTGCTTGTTTAGCTTAGCATGGCATTAAAACTGACCATAGGCTGGATAAAATGCGATGAATGTAGCCACAGTGACACCACTTACTTATTGGGTTGTAAAGCACTCTTTTAAAGCTCCAACAATATCTTTTTGTCTGCTCCCATGTTGTTGTTGTTGTTTTTCTTTTAGAAACAAGTGACTACACACGGCTGAGCATAGAGTGCTAGCTTATCAGGTAACGCTAGCAAGAACGCCTTGGCTAGCAAGCGGCACCCATTAATATTACAATTTCTCTCTATCTGCTTAATGACTTTTAAAAAGAGTACAATTCACTCTTCATTTAATAATTATAAAATAAAGACAGGACCCATTTTTTTCAAGACTAAGGAACATGGACATCTATGGGTTTAGCTTGTTTTTGGAGTCAGTCGTTTTCTGGCACTTTAGTGTTGATTTTATTATGCTTTTTTGTTTGTTTGTTTGTTTTGTTTTATCTCTGCAGGTTGATACTTGACTAAATAGCTAGCACAATCCAAAGTTAGCAAAACCACTGGAGCCAAAAAAACTAAACAAAAACAAAACATAGCCATACCTGTTGAAAACCGAGATTCTAAATTAAGCAAACTGATGTTACCTTCATGTGATTGAGCGATTTAAATGTTTTAAACTTTTTCTCTTCTAACTTTGGCAAAAAAGCAAATCATTGTAAATGGTCATTGCTTCAACATGAAATACCATATATTAAACCTAATAGATTTTGGGAAACAGGCGCTTGCTTCTACCGAAAGTACAGCTATACATCATTGAGGTCATTAAGACCCCATGGAAATCTGGCATGCAAACTCAGATCTCCCCGGGTGATTAAGGCTACTTGATAAACTTCGTTGGAAGCGATTATGCACACTGAAATTCTGACACTGAGGAGTCAGGGACATTTAAAACCCAGTGGCATCAACGTCTCTGACAAATTTAGGGCAGTTTGAGGTACCCTACGGACTCCAGAATCTGAATCTCACTGAGGCATTCAGAGATGTAGTGTGTAGACTTGTGCATACGTGTGTCTGTTTGAGTGGAGGAAAGGGAGGACAAGAATGAGAGACAGGAAGGAAGATAGATATACATCCATGTGTTTCTAAGAATTGGAATAACATAGATAAGACATAGAAGACTTTGAGACGCTGACTGGGGGTAAAACAAAAACACTATATTTGAAGGAGAGCTAAAAACAAACAAAAAAAGTGCTCCATCCAGTGCCCCTCCTACCACAGGTGAGAGAATGTACTGTATGACTGACAAAAATTTAAATGCACACCCTGTTCTTGCTCTCTAACAACTACCATGCAACAAAAGAAGCTAAAGCAAAAGAGGTACCAGTAAGTTATTCCATAAGGTGTCCCAATCTCTACTGGAATGTTTTTGGAGTCCATATAAATTAACTGCCCTAAATTTGTGCCCTTTCATAAGCAACAATAAGTTAAAAATAAAAATCTTCTTACGAGGTTTAGCGATGTGCCCAGAGAAGGAAGAAAAGAGGATTTAGAAGTAGAAGAAGTGGAGCGGTGATGTAGCTTTCTCACACCAGGCCACGCAAAATGGGTTCAACATGTAGAGCTCCTGAAACTCATGGGACCTAATACAGAACCCTGATGAATGCCACCCAAGTCCATAATGAAGACTACTTTGAGCCAAACCTTTGATGGCCTTGATCTACTCTATTGTGCTCCACAGTATATTCTGTGCTTGCTGTCATTGCCTTCCACGGGGCTAGGGAGATGCGATGCTGGATACACAATGATGGGGCGAAGTTGGAGGAAGAACACTGACAAAGGTCCTTTGCCTGGAGAGGGTTGGGATTTTCTGATTTGTTTTTTTATATTTCTTTTTTTTGGTGTTGGTTTGGTTTTGAGAACGGTCTCTGCGGGGTCACTTACACGGAGATGCGGGCGAGGAGAGTCCGCCGTCAGGGGGCGTGCTGTTGGGTTTAGAGTCGGGCATGGGAAGGGGCACTGGGCGGGCCACTGGGGGAGGTGGAGGCAGCAAGAAGGAGCCTGGCATTTTGCTCTGGCCGCTCCCGTTTGGCTGCAGACAACACAAATAGGGTCAGGAGGGCGACATGCGACAATCCGCAGACACGGAATGAAAACAGGACGCAGCTTGGGAGGCCAGGTCCAAAAAAATATCCATGACGGCGGGAGGAGGAGTGGGAGGGGGGGAGCGATGGTGGAAGGAGGAAGAGGAGGAGGGTGGGAAACAACAACCAAAGGAATGATGTATGTGGACGGCATCTTTCATGAAGGTGTGAAAAATAATAATCACCACAGGGTTTGAAAGGAGTAGGAGTTGGAGCTAAAGGTGAGAGGTTCCACAGGGGTGGTCCGTGTCGGGTGGAGGAGGAGTGGAGGAGGGAAGTGAGCAAACTGTTTGACTGGGTTCGTCCAGAAGATGGCAAGAAATCAAAACCATGGAAGGATACTCTTCTACACAAGCACAACACCACCAACAACAGCAGCACCAAACAACCAAAACTTCAACTAAAATCAGAACGGCTAAGAATGAAAACAGAAACACGATGACACAACACAGGGCGGGTATGCTTGACTTGAAGTGTGCCGTGACTGATTCATTCTCGTGCTGATGGTTATAATTTCTGAGGGGTTGGGTGGAGCAGAAGAAAGAAATAAAAAGAGGAGGAGGGGGAACGTCAGGGTCTGAAAGAGGAAACGGCAAAATGACATCGACAAGACAGTACAAAGATTTGTAGACCAGCTGAGTAAACGAATGTGACGTGTGCTGTATTTGTGTCGCCGTGGGTATATTTCCCTATAATGTAGGTGGACACATCGTCAAAGAAGCTCTCTGCCATTCCTAGTTTATTCAAAGTAATAGTATAATGGTTCATTCATGATTTCAAATTTAGGACCATAGTTACAGTTGAACTAGCTTTTAGACTTTTGAATATGTCATTAGATTCCAATGAGGTATGATCAAGATGTGCAACTACAACAAAATTTCCAAATTAAGACAAAAAGAAAGAGATTTGTATACGTCTATTCAAGCTGCTCAAATTCTCACCTATAAATCTATTAAACTAGTTAACTCCAAGCACCAAAATGACAGATGAAGGATTAAAACTAAAACAAGCACTATTCTTGAATATGTATCACATCTGTCAGTCACATGATCCGAGAAAAAACCAAAAAACAACAGAACCTCAGGGATAATGTGCATACCTCTCATTTGGTGAACCTGACATCATGTTACGTTATAATTAACTGAGAAAGACGAGCCACAAACACAGATTTCATTATGCACACAGCTTCCGTATGCTGTACTGTTTCACTAACATACGGTGGTCCCTCGCTATAACGCGCTTCAGCTTTCGCGGTCTCGCTGTTTCACGGATTTTTTTGTGTGCAATTTTGCATTCTTTTTTTTTTTTTTTTTTACAGCGCATTGTGTCCTGCATCCTGATTGGCTGCAGACCATTGTCAATCAATCTCGTGCCGTGTCTCCTGCACAGTACAGAATGCGTTCAGCTTGTCAAATTTACATAAATCATGTTTACTTTCATTGGTGACGGGTCTTACCTGCCCAGCGGCCTGCCCTGAGCCATCGGCACAGACAAACTGCACAAATTCCTTCAGGGGATCCTGTCCAGGGTGGTGGTGATAGCGGATGGTTGGGTGGGTGAAGTAGGGGCTAGACTGCTGGATGATGGAGGGAGACGGGAAGTGCAGGGCCGAGGCTGAAGCACGGGGGCTCCCTGTAAACACAGACGTTTGGTATTAGAGGAAACACGAGCAGAGGAAGAGCGGGACACGAACCGCTGAGTTTCTAAACATTCTTACAGATGGGAGAGATGAACTGAGCAACCACCAAATGATAGCAAGAATATCACATCGCAACTGGAAACAATAAAACTTAAATCTGGTTTTAAGATGAAAGGAACTCGGTTTTTCTAGGAAAAGCTAATTTCGAGTTAATAGGTATTGTATGCATTGCTTATTTTTTATGACTCCTCCAGTAAACCCTTACAGCTTTATTGAAGAAATTTATATGAAACGCTGCATCCAGATGAACACAATGAACTTTTCGGAAAGAGATTTTTACACACATATATTCACATCTGAACACTCACTGAGACAATGTAACAATTTAGGGCAACGCCGTTCAGACTGCACACACTTCTAAATGGGCACAAATTCAGCAGATAAAAGCGCTGCATTTTGAAATCAGATCCAAAAAGCCTGTTAAAAAACACAAAGAGATCATTGAGGAGTGTCTTATATTAGCCTGTCTTAATGCCTGCGCTCCTGTGTGCTGTTTTTGAGGGTGTGATTCACTGGCGTTGATGCATTTTGGCATTTGCATACTAAAGCCTTTTTTATCTGACACATTTTGTTTCTAAGACAGAATTAATCTGTAAATACTCTCTAAATCTGAGTTAATATTTTTTCTGCTAAATGGCTTGTGAGCTTTATATCTGTGTATGTGCACGACAGGTGCGGAGATGCAAAATATAACTGCATTCTGTGGCTAATAAGCTTACACAAACAAAAAACATTCTGTTTTTCACCAAAGAAAATAGTGAAACTCACACCAAACAGATGAATATATGTCTGAGGTGCGAAAGGGGAGCAGTTGGTTGAGCCCTACCACACCGAGCACAAAGCCCTCCCTGTCAGACTTATATCCATTACTAAATCTCCTTGTTTTGTATTAGTAGCCTGTTCTCTTAGCTGTGCCAGTTTAACACCCACCCCATCCCATACAGGCCCCCCAGCTGCCCACGTTGGGCTGCCAATGCTCTTTAGTGCTTGCATCTTATACATTGTGTGTGAGTGCACTTCATAAGGGTGCCAACCCTGCTGCATTACCCCCCAGACAAGGGCCTATGCTTCAGGGCCCAGCAGCACCTTGCTTCCATGCCAGGCTGCCTGCTCCCAAGTGAAGCAGTCGCCCTGCTCCTATAGTCGCATACTAATCCCATTAGACACTGGGTGAAGGCCAAATGCTGGGGGTATGGGAGTATGGATGGGGTGGTGGTGGCCCCTTCATACTTTCACCTTCTTTTGATTCCCATCATATTTGCCTTTAAACTGCCAAAGCCCAACGAGCCCTTCACTGATACCACCTGACATGTCACAGAGGTATTAAGAACATTAAGATATTAAAATATTGCTAAATAAATTCATTATAATCCTTCTTATACAGTTGAAATATCCGTGTTTGCTTAGTTTCTAACTGTGCTATGCTAATATCCAGGGTGGTAGAAGCTGGACATTTAAACCAAACGGTCACTACTTGAAGGCTAATATTTATCACTTAACCTCAGCTGTTTTAAAACGTTTCCTTTACTTTCAGCTAAAGGTGGAAACAATTTATTCATTTCTTTTAGATAACAGATATACATCTTTGTAGGTATTCCACTCATTATTGCACTACTTTAGCTAACTATTTTACAACGTCAGCCAACTAATCTTTGTTACTTCCAGCTAGCTGTGTAAGAATTTATCTGTCATTTCAGAAACATGTATTTAGCTTTGTTTAATTTTTTAACATTTAGAAATGATTTTGAGCTCTTCCAGCATTTTAGACATTCCTGCTAGCTAAGTGTTTCAAATACTTTTTGAAACTGTACGTCCAAACTGTCTGTTACATACACTATAATTTGTTTGGTTCATCTGCTAACTAGCACATGGTCCTTCAATACAAACACAGTTGTTTTTATATAGGGAATTTGCAAAAAACAGTGGAACCATGGCTGACGTGGCTGAAGGGAGAGACTCCATGAAAGCCACCCTTTAGCACCGTTGCTGCTATGAACAGCTGGCCCCTGCATGCTCCTTATTCCCACTTTCAATCCTTTAAATCTCTTGGATCTTGTCTTTTACGTAGAATAACAACAATGCTGATGATGTGGTAACCACTTTCAAACTAGCATGGCAGCATTCCCAGTGTGCACGCTGCCACAGTTTGTATAAAAAAAACAAATCCCAAAGTGTGTAACTTAGAACCTCTGGCCACCGCAAGGATGGGATATTGTATACATGTGTGCACGATGGTGTGAACACTAACAGTGCATGTATGTGTGTGTGGAGACTGGATTTGCTGTAGTCACATCTCAAGAGGTTCTGTCAACAAGCGCTGAGTAGGGTTTAATGACATGGCGGTCAACCTCACATCTGCTCAGTGACTAAAAAATCCTTTGATGTAGTGCAAGCACAAGGGTAATTATCTCCAGTGAGCTCCTTTACTTTGTGAATTTAGAAAAGTACATAAAAAAGAGAAAGTCTCTAATTTGATCTGTACTGGTAAAAAAATTATGATTTCTGTATTTATATTTGGAAGCTCTTTAGCTCCACGTGTAAATAAAGTGGCAGGGTTTAAAGATTGATCTGGTACACAGTAGCTCAGACTCAAAACATCACTTTGTGGCCGTGCTAGTTTGAATTACGTGTTCAACCTGGACTTCCCAAACTGGAAAGGGAAGCAAATCAATAGGAATTTCAAGAAAAAAACCCGTAACGTGACTAGTTGACTAATTAAAGGTCATGAAGCAAAAATGATTTGAATGAATGACTGATTTCCTTCCTGTCTGGAATGATACATATTCACTACTGTTACCACTAAGTATCAGTATGACCTTGCAGCTTGCAGATTTAGATAAAAGGGTTATCTAAATCTGCAAGTTTAAGACAAAACCAAAACGGGAATTTATCAAATTGTTACAAACCAACAGTGAGTTTGGGGATCTGAGACCATGGCAGTTGCGCAGTTGGCGTCATTACCGTCAGACATTAAAAGGAAATGTTTAAGACCAACAAGTAGAAGCTGAGATAGTGACTTTTAGTTTGTACTAATGAGGGAAGCTCTAGACCCCATAACAGCGTCTTTCAGAACCCACTCTTCAAGTGTAATTCTGACTTTCTGGTAAAAATGTAAAGCGTTCAGCCAGGATGAGATAACCTGTTGGCCCATTATGAAGTCATCGAGGCCTTTTTGCCCAACGAGTCAAACTTGTTTCAGAGCTAGAAAATAAAAATGCAACAATTCTTCTTCTACAGCTCTTGGACTGTACTAGGGCAGCTTTGCATCTTTTACAGTTTGAAGTAATGCTTATTTCTTTTTTGCTGAGCCTGGTCATAGCCTAGTCGACCTGCCTTCATTTCCCCCTTGATTGGCTGCCAGGAGGCTCGAACAACGAATAGGTGAGGTTGCTTTGCTCACAGCCAAAGCTGTGACATCATGCAGAGCCAAGAGTTACGTGGTATTTAGAACAGCCTGAAGCCTTGGCTTTTGGCTCACAGGGATTAGTCGTGCGTACACTTACCTCATTCATTTTGTCCATGCTTATTGTGAGAAAATCTGAATTTGGACCCCCCCCCCCCAAAAAAAACCCCAAAGCAAACAAACAAACAAAAATCCTAACAATAGCTTGTTTATTCATTACTCATTTCCACTTGTGGTCCTGAGACTGGTTTGCCATCCAGGAGTCTTGAAATGAATACTGGGAGTAGATGGGTAAGAGGAAGCTGTTTTATTCATGTAACATCTTGACTGATCTGACAGAACAGGTTGCAATATCCACCAAATCCCTCTAAGAAGACAGAGGCAATCTACTAACAGCCATCCACCACCAGACAGAACTAGAGAAGCCACACACCACACCCAGAAACCCTGCAAGCTCCATCACCGGCAAGACCTGCACCCTACGAGGTAGGAGGAGGCAGAAGAGGACGAGGCACAGACCCATAGAGTTACCTGCCAGCTTCCCAGCCACTCTCATCTCCCAAAGACAACGCCCCCAGCTCTAAACCACAGAGGGGTAGGGTGGGGGATGGGGGCACTGAAAAAGTGAGAAGTGGGTAGGAGGAGATGGTGAGGAGGGGGAGAGGAAGGGGTTGGGGCGATCAGGGGGGGATCGGGAGCTGGGTTGGTCTCACCTGGTCTCACTCCCGCCAGCATTGGCAGTGGGTGGTGGGTGAACGCCATGCGGGGGGACCTCGTCTGGGAGGACAGGGCGCTGAAATCGAATTTCCCCGGCTTCTTAAGTGAACCAGGCGACGAGAGTCCTGGCAAAAAGGGGATCAACAAAATGGCAGAACAGAGACGAGGTTTTAATCAAACATGGCTCCTTTTCTTACTTTGACTCTACTCAAAAAAAGAAAAAGAAATTTATCAGACTTTGTCAGATTTGATTACAAGAATCAAATGATTATGATCGACTGAAATCAATGGATTGATCGACTGATTCATTCATTGATTTGTTTGATTGGCTTAACATACAGATGGGTCCTCACAACCTGTCTATTCTGTGTCTGTACAGTCAGCGGGCTGTACCGTGTCTGGGGGCTGAGGGCAGGGTCCGGTGAGAGGCCATGGTTCGAAGCAGCGGGGGTTCAGAGCAAAGGGAGGTGACGGGAGAGGGGAAGGGGTGGGTCGGGTTCAGGTCGAGAGGCTGGGGGCACAGCGTCAGGACAGAGGAGAGCTGGGAAATGCAATAGCAGTTCAACTATGGTCACCACTGAGTGTATGAACAACACAGCAATCCCCCTGCTTACTTTAACCACTGAAATCTAATCAAACGGTCTCCTTTGTGAGGCGCAAACTACCCGACTAATCCCACACGACAACGCTCTCAGAGCCCGGCGTCGCTACAGAGAACTTCAGGAACGCAGTCAACAAACATGCCAACCAACCTACTCACTGCACTTGTCAGGATGCCTCTTTAGAATGAATGGGATTCTGGATGGCCTCATATCTGGGGCAGACTGTGCTTTCGATTCAATGCCAGCATGAGCTGTGCAACTACATATAGCTGCAGACGAGCATGCCAGAACATACATCAATGGATCCTCTGATGTAGTGCCCTTCTGCATATCTGACTGTCAGGTATTTTATGTTACTGACTTATAGTATTTCATAAAGACGTGCTTGAACTTCTATACACACACACACAGACGCGCACACACACAAGCTGCTCAGGCTGGGTGGTAAGCACCGGGCGAACTGCCAGTAAAGGCTAGATGGGAGAGCTGTAGAAAGATGGAAGAAGTTAAGCAGGAGCGGAGCGGTGACGGCATGGCCGGCACACACAGACAAACATATTAAAGTGTCCCCCCTTGTCTATAAATGTCGGCCGAGGCTAAAAGCCTGCATGAAATATCCCTTAGTTTGGCAAAAAGGGGCACACAAAGTATAGGCCCAGCTCACCAGCGGACCAGAAACATGGCCAGAAGTGTGAGAGCTACAGATAAAAGAGGCTCTCTTCTGTGATCAAGGCCTTGTGTGGTGGGTGCTGAGGGAATTTATTTTGATGTATGGTAATCCAAAGGCACAATTTAGACTTTCTGGGTTTGAGGAACGGTGCCAAATGGTGTATCTGACCTCTGCGTGGAACCGCAATGTTGAATATAAGCTGAAATAAAACTCTGGAAAGAAAAAAATCCATAAAACAGAGAATAATGAGGAAGTTAAAGTACAGAAAAGTACATCAGCATGGACACACAGACCTCATTACTTTTCTCTGGAACATGCGGAGCTCGTGTTTTGCTTCACATTTGGTTGAAAGAATAGAGCGATAAACAACCTTGGCGAGAAGGACGCCCGTAAACTACTAAGCGACACAATATTCACACATATAAAACAAACACACTCGAATAAAGACGTGGATAATTTCAACACGGCCCGAGAGATGTGGAAATAGATTTTATGAGCTGAGCTTATAAAGTCTAACACAGCAGATTTCTAAACAGCTTTTTCTTAAATGCTAAACTGGGAAATGTTTTATCACTATTTAGCCACAATGCTCACAGGCACCACGGGTGCAGCTGTGCTTGTGTGGGCACCTATAAGCACAGAAAAAGGTGGGCGCTGGCACTTATGTTCAGATAGGCACGTCACGTGACTTCACGAGTAGGTGGGAGGAGCGGACACGGCGAGGAGGGTGAGATGCACTTTATTCACCGATAGATTTACGAGACAAATATCATCCATCTGGTGATGCTTTCTTGGGGGCATATTACAACCAATTTACAGCTAGTACAGTAAAGCTGCAATCTACTGTTAACAGACTGTGGAATATTCAGCAATCAGCCAGAACTTTCAAATCACTGGCAAGTGAAGTGAGTAACATTTATAATGCCATTAAAATGTAATATTATGCTGGAAACTTTGGATGATGTCATCCATGTGGCTGTTACTTTGACATGCATTACCCACCACGACGCTGATCCAGACCAAGCCCACCCTTTCCCTCGTGATGACTACTGTACTCCCTGCTGGCAGGCAGCATGCCTGCCAAACTCCTCACGAATGGCTCAAGAAACGTAAGAGCTCAAATTTTCAAGCCTCCAAAGTCTTAAAATTGTAATATGACAGAGCATCGCAGCACCCAATGAGGTCCCCTGTCCATACCCCAACAGGTCAGAGCTGTTTGGCATGTTAGGCAGATGGTTTTAGTTTTGTGGCAAATCTCAAGGAGTAGTACGTAAGGATGTACCCAATGATGAGCGGTGCTCAGGAGACGTGCAGAATCAATCAGGCTCTGGAGTACCTTTGAAGGAGTCGAGACCACAGATACGGCTCCATGTTCAGATTTCTTTTATTTGAGGGTTTAAATTGTAATAAAATACTATTTGGGAGTATCAGAGATGTCACTGTCGTAGCACCGTGAGCATGTGTCTTTTTTATTTCACACATCAAATGAGCAGCTGCGCAGGATTTCTTGCAGCAGCAACCTGAAAGCAGCTGACCACCACAAACAGCAGCGTTTCTGTTTTGATGTAATTTTCATTTTTATTATCCTTTGAAAACGTCTCCCATCGAGGCATTTCACGATTGGTTTCAACGTAATGGAAATAAAAGGACATGATATGCCTAATTTTGACTAATATCTGATACTTGTGGGCATTTTTGTGTAGATGCAAGTTTAAATAATGGTTTTAGCAGGGCTCTGTCTCTTCACAGGTTATCTGCAGCCATGTTCAGCTGAACGGGTTAAACAGGGATGGCTCTCTGTAGATCAGCTCTAGTCTTTGGCTGGAAGTCTTAGAAAATGTTCATTTCTCTGGTTCTGCATTGGTTTAGCTAATTTTATAAAATGAATTTGTAACTTCTGAGTTCTTCAACTTTCTCCCTACACACACACACACACACACACACACACACACACACACACACACACACACATGAAAAGGCATAATTTAAATGGCGTTAAAGCCACAGAGACTGAATGTAAACATGCTGTGTATTCAATGCGTCCCTGCAGCAAAGCCTGTTTGGCTGCAGTTCCTCTGTTGGACGTATAGGCAAGACTGTGCTGCCACATCCCAACTTTAATTATAACCAGCTTATTATGCACAAACAGCCTTAAATTATACATATTGTTTTTAGTCTCTGTGATATTCCCTAATTAGTCGCTATCTTGCTGAAATATCTATCTATGCGGCTTCTCAGTGAGGAGCAGCAAATGAGGCCCAGATGCCCAATGAAAGCTTTGTCTGATAAAGCTAACAGAAGTTACTCTGATCTCTCTCTTAATCTGTGCGTGAGAGAGCGCGTGTGTGTCTGCACATATGCACGCACGCACACATACACAGTTGTTTGTTCTACGTTATTTCTGTGTCCTGCTCCTGGCACGCTGCGCTAACAGACTGGCAGCCAATTGCTCCCATGACCCTGTAGTCTTGCCATGCTAACAAGCTGGCGACCACACAAACCCCCTAACTGTCACAGAACTGGTCCACTAGCATGTGCGCGCGCACAACAGAGAGACGACAGATCTCGTGCACTCCTCGTTCAGGTAAGCGAGGAACAACAGTGTACATCAGCAGAGCAAAGCACCTCATTATACTCGCTGCCACGCGCAACATTAGCGCTCGTAAACGGGGCAGCGCAAGGACACCTCCGCAAGACAGCCACACACATGACGATTTAATGCCCAGATAATTAGCTTGTAATCTCTGTCAAAATCACAAATACATGGGAAACCCACCCCCTCCTTCCCTTACTGAAAGGCTGATAGTGGGCTTTCCCACCACTGAGCAGCAGCAGCAAGCAGGCAGAAGGAGAGAGCGGAGCAGAGCTGAGCGGGAGACAGCGGACTTAATGATGAATTACATGATCACCTGCTATGCCTCAGAGCTTTTCATTCAGGTAGAGAATCACCTTCTGAGCATGCAGAGGCGGAGACTCTCCCCTTTCCTTCCCCCCACCCCCCTCCCCCTGTCCTCCGCCCCTCTTCTCCTCTCCACATCTCTCACTCCCAACACCACCACCACCATCACCAGAACAGATGTCTGCTGTAACCCAGTAGCTCCCTTCGCTGTAGACACATGGAGGCGCCATCTGGACCGGAACGCTGCTCCTCTCCAGATTGGGGAGCGTGCTTATGTGTGTGTGAATGTAAATCAGAGAAGGCGCTTAAATTTAGTTTTCTGTGCGCGTACGCATGTGTCTGCATGTCATTTGTAAATGTGCGCGTTAGTGAGTAAGCATGTCTCGGAGACAGAAGGCGCCTTGTGCATTGATGACACACCTGAGTGCCTTTAGTCTTGTTTGTTTGGGTCGTATGTTGTTTTTCCTGCGCTGTCTTTCAGAGATGGTTGAGTCAGGCCTACAGCAGGTGGGACGCCACTCAACAGCTCTGTCTAAACAACCGGCAGGACGAAGCAGCAAACCCCCATTCACACACCCCGCTCCTCCTTCTTTGTGTCTTTCAGCGCTCGCTTTCTCTCTCCGGGCTCAACAACAAAATTACAACACCCAAGGCACTCAGCTGAACGCCGCTGACAAACTCATACCACCTCGCAAACTCGGTTTGCAGTCTGTGGTTTTTCAGATATGATAATGCACCTAATTGCATATGTAGACTAGGGTTTACATCAGTATAAGAGCATTCAGACATGTTCTCAATGCCACAGAGACGTCTTTATCCTCCTAGACATCACATTTCTTTCACAGATTTACATCTTTAAGGCAGACAGGCGGAAGATGTTATGGAGCTACTGGGCTACCAAAAGGCTTTGGTGAACCCACAATGGACAACAGCAGACATCTGGTAGAAACACAACCCCACCCAGCAGCAGCATAGCCAGAGAACAGGACACAAACAGAGGGATGAAGAGAAGAGAAGAGAGGGACAAATGAAAAATAACCCAGATTCGCTCTGAGAGCTCACAGATTTGAAGAAAGGACAGAAAGAGATGTACACAAGCTGAGGGTGGTGTGAGCGGAGGTAGAGCATGTATACATGAACACAGTATAATGTTTAATGTTGTTCTAACCATGGTAAGGAAACTGCACTCCATCGCTCTCATGCTTAATCTTCCTCTCCTGCACACTGGCCAAATGGTGCTGCACTGAAAGGCCAAACAGGGGAGAAGGGAAGAGTTAACAATGGAAGAGGGGAGGAGAGAAAAAGAGACATCGAAAGAGATGGAAAGAATGAGAGAGAGAGAAACAGGGCTGGTTAAATAATAGGCAATAGGGGATTTTAATGTTATAGAGTGCAGCAAGTGTCTATAAAATAGTTACATCATTACTGTTGGCAGTATTAAAATGGCAGCATGTGAGTGGGAGGGACGGAGAATACATGAAAATTTAGCAATTTAACAAAATCCCCAAAGCCAAATACGACACCCAAGAGATATATGTTAAGTCTATTGAAAATACATTTGACGTGATCACCATCATGATGGTTAACAGTGCGGTTACCCAAAGAGTGAGTGGCTATGACTTCAGCATGTGAATGGGTGGTTGGAGTAGTGCCGCTCAGGATTTTGGTGTAACTTTTAGGTATCTGGAGAATACTCAAAAATTCAACATTTTGGGAAATAAGCAAAATACTGATGGATGATAAAACTGGTGGCCTTCTGATGTCTGTATTACAAGTCAGCATTGAAGCAGCCAGCTCCTGGTTAGCTTAATGTTGTCTCAGTAAAAAATAAATAGATACAAGAACAGCTAGCTCGGCTCCAGTCAACCAACAGCTCTGAGATTCACAAATGAATATAAAGAAACAAAAACAGAGAGAAGAGCAATTTGCCCTCATGGCCCTTTACAAGCCAGTTAGCCTATCACAAAACAAAGAGCAAACACTTATTCTCATTTAATAACCTCGAGATAAACTGAAGCAAAAAACACAATGGTGTCTCGTGACAGTAGCCCATCAGTCACATGACCAATTAGTCTCCTCACTGCATTAGCTAACTGGCTGCTAGCACAGCTTCCTCTTTGCTGTGCAATAATGTAAATTGCTGTATTTCCCAAAATCTCAAAGTACTCCTTAGGAACACCACATGCAACATTACAGTCATTACAGTGGGTTTGCTTTAAGTTAGATTTGTAAAGGACTCGGTTACACCCACTTGCTAAAACAAAGTTGCTAAACATTTAGCAGATGATGTTTGTGTTTCGCAGTCTAATGCACGACACTCGCACACACGTGCACTCAGTCCTGGAGGTGAGCTTAATAGATGTTAGCTCTAATGCCGTAAAAACTAAATGTGTCCATCTCTGCAGCTATTCTCACAGTCAGACAACAAACACTAGACAGCAGGCTATCCTCAGTTTGTGGTCTGATTGAAGGGGCAGTTCAGCCAGAACAAAAAGGTTTTTCTGTCTTTTATCCAATAGCTTCAGGATCAGCTTTCTTTCTGTATCCCATCACAACAGTGGTGTGATGTACATAAACCTTGTTTGTTTTGAAGAACTGGTACTGGAAAGACATTTTTCCTATTTCCAAACACAATTTTCAAATGCATTAAGCATTAGATGATGGCAGAATTTCCAGCGATGGAAATAAAAGACCTTGAAATTTCTGCAAATTCCCCCGAATCTCTACAAACTGTTTAGAGTAACTGAGAAAATGTGTTTTTTACTGGCTCTTTAAGTCCCTGCTGTATGTGAGAAATGATGCTTTGGTGGGGGGTCCATTTAGGTATGGCGTATAAGAGGATTAGAAGTTGAAAATGAAAGATGGTGCAAGTGGGGATGATGAGGGGGGGGCGAGTATTGAAGAGTCAAAATAGATGCAAGCGGGTATGATGGTGAAACATAATTAGCTTTAGCTTCTGGTCCATGTCAAGTCAGGAATTTAATATTTGTGGGAAATACATCTTTTTGCCTCGTTGCTGAGAGTTATTTAGAGCGTTACCATTCTAATAGCTGCACAGTAAGTATGAGCAAAACACAGCAGGAAGTGGAGGGGCTAGTTTGGGCTTTGTCACATATACACTGTTACGATCATATTAAACATGGCTGTCTCAAATAACGAAGTCAGTGCCCAAACCTTCTGTTTATAAATCAGGAGAAAGGCGGCTTGCCTCATAATGTGAACGAACTGGGCGCTGCACCAAGGCCTAGATAACATCAGATAATAATGCTCATTTTGATGACCTCAGCTAGCAATGAAACCTTTCGCTGAAACCAGACTGCTTGTTTCCCTCTTTTTAAAGTTACGCTAAGCTGACCAGCTGGTGCTTGCTTCTTGTTTACTCTACAGACATTACAATAGTATCAAACTACAGAAGCTAAACGTATTTCCCCAAATGTCAAATTGTTTTTTTAAGGCTTTACGATTCAAGGTGAAGCCAGTGTTTAAAGTTTGCCTCTGAATTGATGTGGACCTCAGCACAGTTTCTGGATTGCGTGCAAAATCTGATGCAGCAGTTGCAGCGGGACTACCTGCATCCACATCATTAGGCCAGCCGCTGGACTGAGAGCTGCTGCCAGCCGCTGGGGAACGGCCCGAGTAGAAGACATCATCCACTGGGCTCTCCATCTCACTGTCGTCAATGGACTTGCGCTTGTTGGAGCTGGGAGAGGAAGGAGAGAGATTAGTAAAAGGGATTCATTATGAGAGCAATCTGAAGCAGGCCAGGGTTTCCCACTAAAATAAATAGGCACAACTAATTAGTAAAGGGGACACTGATAAATGTCATATCATCTTAAATCAAGGGAAATGAAACAAAGTCACCTTTTCTCTTAGTTATCTACATTTTGTTTTCATATTATGTTACAGTCTTAAGGGACAAAGCAGCATAATTGGAGACAAACAAACACGAGGCCAGAATTTTAACAACATGCTGTGTCCACGCCGGCTCAAAGCAGCCTCGCGCTAGAAACTGCAAGCAGAAAGTGTGCCTGGTGATGTTGGAGCCTATTTTTGTGTGTGTTTGCACATTCCTACAAACGCATACATCTGTGACCAATAAAATAAAGGGGGCTGTGAACGTACAGCGTGTGCGTATACGTGGGACAGCATGCGTGTGGCTTTTGTGTGATGCAGCGGTCTGTGCTACATTAGTATCAAGGGAGATATTCTGTAATGAGTGTAACTACCTCCGTGGGAGACTTGCATAAAGCTCCATTTCAGTCCTGCAGCGTAAGATGAGCGGGAGAGGACGGCAGAGGAGAGGGAAACAGACACAAACAAGGAACGGGTGACAGACAGATCGGTGGGAAATATGAGTGGGGACGAGGAGGGTTAGTGACGAGGAAGGAGAGAGAAAGATCTCGATCAAAAAGCAGAGCAGGCTAAGCATTAGGAAACACAGTACAGAGGTTGGAGAATGAAGAATAGCAAGTGGCAGAATTAGATTTAGAAGGAGCGTTTCGAGTGCTTTGTGTGTACCTGGTGGAGGGGGTGGAGGTGATCGAGCGCCGCCCCAGGGTCACCTGGTTGATGTTGTAATAGCCGGGGCTGTCCAGGTCAGCCAGAGAGAAGTTGGGGCCTGTCGCTGTAGCCACAGGGGCTGAGGGGATGCACACAGAGAAAACGAGAGAAAAGAGACACATCATAGAAAAAAACTAGAATTAAAAGCTGAAAGTGTGAGAGCCGTCGACTGCAGAAACAGTTCTTTGTTTAAGCTTCGCAGAAGATGATTCCTGATAACTCTGACGTTTCAGTAGCACTACAAATGTACTCATTTCAAAGTCTTTATAGCCTTACTAGTCCATTTTTGGAGACACTGACACGATTATGTTTACAGGACTTTGCTAAACTTCTCGTAGGACCTGGTGTCCACATATGGGAACATCACATTTTGGGTTGTCTGGACCAGCGGTCCCCAACCTTTAACTTTCCCCAACCACAGACCGCTTTATGTCTGACCTTTAAGGTGTCGCAGATAAATACAACAAAATAAAACCAGTAGGGCTACCACAAAAAAAGATTTATTCATGACACACAGGACACCGAGTTAATGATAAACATGATAACAAAATAACGATAAAACCCTGAAGACCATAAATTTCACACTCGAGCCTCAACTCTCGGGGCCGGCACCAAACCACCCACGGACTGGTCCTGGTGCGTGGCCCGGGGGCGGCTGGTCCAGACCGCAATACTAAATTTTGCTCTTTCAAAATTTGTTGTTTCTCATTTTGTTTGTGTACTCAGGAAAATGCTGCTGTGTTCAGTTTTGCACATCATTACTCAAATGTGACTTTTAGTGTTCTATCAAACACCATCGAGCCAAATAGCAAAGAGGAATTCAAAATGCACGTTCGGATCTTAGCAGGCTAATGTACGAGTGATATAATATGCAAATTAATCCAGCTACTCAAAACTACTAGTTATAATAGGTTATATAGTAATATACTTATAATAACATAAGTAACTATATACTAAGAATGAGAGGTGACAGTGGTTGACTCACTCTGCGACACACGGACCAGCTCGGCTACGTTCCACACACCCGAAGTAACAAAGCAGTCCTGGAAACTCAAGTTGCCTGGTTAAAGGGAGAAAGAGACATTTGTGAGTTACACTCTGAATGCACACACACACACACACACACACACACACACACACACACACACACAC